TCGAATAATAAAGTTAGCAAAATGCTCGTTCGTTCAACGAGCGCGTGCAGTGTCGATAAGCCGCTGCGAATTCGGACATATGCTTACAATTGGCACATGCGTATGGGGTTCTCATTGAATGCCTCTATCACAGACATCATTTGCTGTGTCATTTCGTCTCCAAGACATATTAAAACATTGTTCGCAAACAGTTAATCAGTACCTTCTCTACTATAGTTCGTTTGTATCTAGATGTGACGGCACAGAATTGAACTCTAAAGCAGTTCGGTTTTACGAATAAAATTAATATTTTAAGTCAATTGGGAATCAGCGTCATTATTAAGAATATTTATGCATTAAAACGTGTAAAATATGTATGTAATTATAAGAATTAAATAGGTATATAAGTATTAACAATGCAGAAAATATGTACTATACAAAACCTCATAAAAATGATGAAGTTATGATAATTTGTCCTTTTCATACGTTATAATTTTCTCTGAAGATTTAAGTAATTTATAGCCTATCAAAACAATGTAAATTGTGACAAAACTCACATGAATTATGGACTGGAACTGATGCTGGTCACTTAAAAGTTTTTCCACTTCAGTGTATGAATCATCATTTTAAGGTTTGAAAACAGACATGATTCTCTGTTGCTTCCCAAAATTGAATTATACTGGGAAAAACAACGTTCAGCCTCCATAGATGTTAGTGGCGGATATTTAAAGTTCGTTATTTCTTCCAGAGACACTGTTTCTTCAATGTCTGACAATTTGCTCTCCATTTTTTCGGTCATAATATTGGCAATATGATGCTATGTACGGTAACTCGGATGTTTTTGTAGTACGTAGTTAAATTTTTCTTCTACGACCTTTGCAATTTTTCCTGGCGCAGCTTTAAGCTCTAGTAAGACACTTTCTACTAAATTTATATTTGTGACAGAAGGGACATCATTTTGTTCGAGCGCTATGATGGAAATTGAAGTGCAGTTGAAGTGTGTCTTTATACAAATTAAGGCCTCCTTTATTCCATTTCTACTTCGCTTCAACAATACATTCTGTTTCATTTTCATTAATATATTTGAAAACATTCTCAATAATGTCAAAATATTGGCAATAATATGTGGGCAGCCCTCAAACCCTATTCCCCATGTCGTAAAGGTCGGTTCAGGAGGAAGTGGAACGTCCGGAGCTAATTTTTTAAACAAATTTATTCTGCTTGGAGATTTAAGGAAATTTTTTTAACGCTTGATATTAAGGAATTAACAGCAGGAAAACTTAAGCACACAGTTCATTCAGGCAGTGAACTGCATGTGCCAATCATGTTACATGAATAATTCTATTATAAATTAGTTTTCCCCCTTCTCTCCTAATCATATACGGGGCCGCATCCGAAGTGAATAAAACTACATTTTCATTCCTTCAGCCCTCAACAACAGCATTGCGTTACACTCACTTTCGTTATTGTGTAACTTGAGGTTATTACTTCTTCAATCGCTAGAAGAAAATCCTTTGATATTTCATTTTCAGCGATCGTACCAACAATTACATTACATACAGATCGTTAACATGCATCATGCGTTTCGTCCGAGCTAACCCAGATCATTTTATCTTTAATACAATCACGAACTTCTTATACAGTTTTTCATAAATTAATGGAACATAATGTGAGCAAAGAGTCGACTCATGTGGAATAGATTGTTTCATATATGTATCTAGGAAATCATGTAATTTAGAATGCAATGGACTGTGAGCACAAGTAAAAGTCTCCCATACGTTCGTGTAAAAGGTGGATAACTGGGAGCCCGAAGTTGAACTAGTTGTTTCGTTTCGAGCATTTACTTATAGCATTAACTGTTTACCACTTTTTTGGTACAACATTTTTTACGTGTTATGCCGTTTTCAAATGTGTCATATGGTTGTTGAGGATCCACACTTACACTTTATTCACACGGAACACAAAATAACATGGTCCCATCAGTAGTTAGCACATCTTCATTTTCACGCACGTACAAATTGTGATGTGTAGAAAATATTATTTTCACTGATGAAATTTTGGCGAAAAAGCGAGAGCCTTTGATTAACCACAATACTATTTACGAATCAAGATATGTAGTATCGAGACCGAAAAGTAAACCCGAGCACTACACGTCCACGCTCAAAACTGAACTGTAATGCACATGCTACGGTTAGTTTTAAATAGTGTACTCTCTTTCTGCTCGCACCTATAAGGGCTTTTCAGCGTTCTTTGGTCCCTAGAATTTTCAACATTCAGTTCTGCCAACATCGAAAACGTACATGAAATTCGGCTTGGCGCTACATTCAAATACGCAATTCGAGATACAAATATACTATAAGCAAATATACGCAATTCAGTAAATTTTAACCTACCGAATGTATTAAAACATTGAAATAATTATCATTTGGACCAATTATTTTGATAATTTTCTCATGAAACTCATAATGCTGATATGTGAAGAGTTTCATGTTTTACTTCATTGTAAAATAAAAGTATAATTAGAAAACTTTGAAGGAATAAATTAATAAATTACATTCTTACAAAGATTGTAAATTATTCATAAGGATATAGAATGAATGAGAGGAAATTTAAAAAAATATGAGTATTTCTTAAATTGTATTTGTCTGCACTTTTTAACTTATCTGGTCCTACAATAATGTATTTCATCAGACCATTCAACAGTTAAAATTAAGGATGAAGAATTAAAACACTTCATAACTTTTTACCAAGTAAATTTATTTGACAATAATTACATACAGGTATTCTTCCAGGAAGCCTTCATCTAATCCATCATGCCAATGTTCAGATGTACAATAAATTTATTGTTTTCACAATCAACACAATCCTTGTCTCTAAATTCATCCATAATTATCTCAGCATGTCCCACTGCATTTTTCTATTTGTAATTGACACTTAGAAATATAATTAATGTATTCATAATACTTTACTGAATTTAAAATATTTAACCTAAATTTCTTTGTGGTAAATGCGTCAATGAATTTAGATAACTGCTCTAAAGCTTGATTCCAAAAAATTCTAGCCTTTTCCATTCCCTGGTAAGATCTTACAAGGAATTCTTACTGAAGTATCCCTTATATATAAGACCATCAGTTATATTGAACATTATGATAAGGAGTAAGCATTGACACAGTATGCCCTTCAGCTTCCAGCATTTTAACTTAACACCTGTGGGTAATTACTTTTAACATATGAAACAATTTAATTTATACAATAACTGCTTAAGACATTTAATAAAATATATGAAAGTTAAAATGAAAATGAAAGAATAATAAAATACTGCACTTACCAAGTATCCTGACTATAAATATGTACTTTTAAAATTTTCACATTTTGCACAAAATGTTAGCAGTATTGATATTATTTGACTTATGATACCTACATTTTAGATCTGCTCATGGGCTTTCTGGCGTGATTTAATAATAAATCTTTGTTTTCATTGTGAACTACAAACATTCCTATTAGAATCAGTCATGAATGAAAAATATAAAAAAGTTTCAATAATTTTTTGGAGTGAACCACCACGAATACAGGACTTTGAAAATTAAAATACCATTAGCTCATCCAGCAAAGGTTGTCACACTTTAATTGTGTAAACCTATCTTTAAATCATTTCTGGTTCTTTTATTAACAAATAAATAAATACATGAATAAAATATTTTTGTAAAAAGAGATCTCCCAAAATAAAAAGTAAAAACTATGAAAAATGTGTCTATAAATGAACAAATAATAAGCAATCAAATCATTAACACATTTATTCAAAAAAACTCAAGTCAAAAAGGGTCATACTATATAGGTCAACACCATTAAAATAAGATTTCATTAAAAGAATATTAACATTATCAAAAAAATTGATAAGCAAAATGGTGTTTTTCCTAATGAATTCATGAAGAATAAATTAGATGAAAAATGAATAAATGACTAGTGCTAGAGATATCTTTTTAGAAATAAAATTAACATATACGATATTACAAAATGCTAATAAACAATTTAATTAATATTTTATAATAATAACAATAATAATAATAACAATAATAAGAGAATAGATTAGAATAGTTTATTTTCCATCAAATTTGTTGTGGGTCCTCATAAATCAAACTGACTTAGCATCAGGTGCCCATTATTACAGAATTGTACAGTATTTTCCTTCTTTAAATTCATAATGTTGACATACTATATTTTTACCTAATACAATTACATAAAAACCTATTCTTATGAAATATTTTACCATAAATAATTCAATGTAAAGTTAAAAACATTATTATGTGCAGTGATATCCTCTTATTTTAAATGCAATTAAATCAATTCATATTTAAAACAATTATATTATTGGCACTTATGCACTAATCACAATGTTTCACAACCCAATTAGATGTATCATCAGGTAATATAATCAGTTTAAATTTTGGAATAACATTATAAACAAAGCAAAAAATAAAAATGGATTTACAATTAAAACTTTGAATACATTATCAAAGAAAAAACAAGAATTGTGGTTATAATAAAATCTCTAATAGTATAAAATTTTAAATATATAAGTACGAAGCACATGTTGTACCTGAGACAAAATTGAGTGTTTTGTCTGACATAAGACATTTGTCTGTGTAAACTGCAATTAATGTAATGCCAAAGCAGTGACTTGTTATAATTTTTTTACAAACATTATTTTATTAATATTACATGCAAAATTATGCATTTTGTATAAAGTAATAACAATATATTATATTTAATTATATGTGTAACATTATTACTGAATAATAACCATATAAAAGTACATTACTACATTAATTCTGTATAATAGTAGTACATAATGTAATTTATAATGATTACATAGTAATCTCGGTCTCACATTTAAAATACTAAATATATTTTCATGAGAGTGTGAAAGTATCAATGAATTTAATCAGTAATTGTAGGTTCACAGCAATGTAAATATATTAATAGTAATTATTGAATATGAATTGCTAAAGCAATGTGTCTTGTCATACATTGATTAAAACAATTCCATTGCAAATATTTTTAGATTTATATTTTCTGTTGATATGATTATTACTACCAATAAGGCTGACAAAAAAGAATACCTTTTAATAATTTCGAACCAAAAGTGAAAGTAAAAACATTTCATCATCTTTTCCCCTACAAACAATATATTTATCTCTGACTTTCCAAACAAAATTCATTTCTTTCAGAATTCTGTACAAAGAAGGTTAAGATACATAAAAAAGTATGTGTCATAATTGCCTATAATATTCTCCCACACTTCTTTTCTCCAGCGATCATCGAGGATGTTGTTTATACTTCAATGATCACTGAAAACGGCGGTGTTCGAATTAGAATATAGCTGGCCTAGAATAGTTTAATAGCTGGTAAGAAGCTATAAAAATCGTACTGTTTTTTAATGAAAGAGGTTTCTTTTTAGTAACGTAGAAATTGTAAATGCGAAATCAATGATACGTTTTTACTTTCTGGGTACAACTTACGCAATAGCGAGGAAGTTATGTGAAGCTGCGCGAAACCATGTGAATTTTCGGCAAAATAATATTATTATCGGTTGCTGGTAATGTAAAAGGGAGTAAATCCAGGTGTTAAATTTAGGAAAAAATCCTCTAACAAGTGGTGTAGCCAGAATCCATGTTTTGTGGGTCATTGATATCGAAAAAAATTGAATGACGGCAAACCGTCCGTCCGTCCGTCCGTCCGCCGCCGTCCGTTCCCCGTCCGTCCGTCCGTCCGTCCGTCCGTCGTCGTCCGTCCGTCCGTCCGTCCGTCCGTCCGTCCGCGTCCGTCCGTCCGTCCGTCCGTCCGTCCGTCCGTCCGTTCGTCCGTCCGTCTCGTCCGTCCTTCCGTCCGTCCGTCCGTCCGTCCGTCCGTCCCGTCCGTCCTGTCCGTACGTTCCGTCCGTTCGTCCGTCCGTCCGTCCGTCCCGTCCGTCCGTCCGTCCGTCCGTCCGTCCGTCCGTCCGTCCGTCCTCGTCCGTCGCCGTCCCGTCCGTCCGTCGTCCGTCCGTCCGTCCGTCCCTGTCCGTCCGTCCGTCCGCCGTCCGTCCGTGTCTCGTCGCGTCCGTCCGCCGTCCGTCCGTCCGTCCGTCCTCCGTCCCGTCCGTCCGTTCCGTCCGTTCCGTCCGTCCGTCCGTCCTTCCGTCCGTCCGTCCGTCCGTCCGTCCACAACGCTAGTGGCTAAATTGTTCACACCATTTTATCCAAAATTGATATTCCCCAATCAATCTGGCTGATGTCTTGGACCCATGAGTCGTGATTATTTTAATGATGCAGAATTCCATTTAGTGCACCCGATGGGGAGCCGAGAGGGGATCTCCCTATCAAAAGTAAGGTAGAAGATTTCATTTTGTTGATATTGTTATTACTAAGAAATCTTAAGTTTTGTACCGTGAAATACTTCGGGACAAATTTTGGTAGCCAAAGAAACGAACACATTACGGAAATGTTTTTGTTTTTGCGTAAGCAATTTTTAATAGTTGATCTTGGTGCAAAAATAGTTATGTACAATTTTAAACCGCACAAAATCCTCTACATATGTACTTTATAACGTATCACTTTCTCGGTCTTACTAACCTACGAAGATCGCTCAAAATTTTCTAAAGAAAGTTGTTATTTAGGACCAGGTTTTACAGTTCTTTAATAATCTTAAAATAATAGTTCCGCTCTACAATTAGAAAACCGAAAAATTAAGAAATTATCAAAAAAAATTACATTGGGCGGCGATAGATGGCAGCTGGCAAGAGTATGTCGCAAGTCCGAGTAGCTAGCCAAGACCAATGCTTCTCCTTACTTTGCTCCTTTCAAGAGTGAAAGGAGCATAGCGAAATTTGCGTGGTCAGACGGAAGAGCGGACCTGATGGCCTCGCCACGTAAAATAAGGCAACAATTTAATTCAATTCAAGATAAGGAGTTGTAATCGCTGACATCTGGTCATCGCTTCCTCCCCTACCTTCTCGCTGACGTTGAGGCTTCTTCCCTTTTCCCTCTGGTCAATCTGCAACTCCATCTCGAACGCGTCCTATTTTGCGCAGCAATTTAAATGTGTGCTCCTCTACACGCTCTCTGCATCCGCTTTTATCAGCTCGGTCTTATTCTGGACGCATATTTGGTGACAGGCTGGAGTAACATAAAAGTTAAAACAAAAAATACAAAGCCCGAGTTCATATTTGACGCCATCTGAGATCTTTCGAGTCTATAATTAGGCTGAAGATGTTTCTAAAACAGAAACACTAATACAAATTTATATTTCAAAAGTAACTGTATTCCCCGCGTATTAAGATACAAATGATAGAATACCCCGAGCCAAGCTTCTAATAAAAATAATCAGTTATTTACATTAAAAAGTATCGTACAGCTAGTGCTTCTGAGGCTAAATGAGTGTTTCAAAATGACAGTGTTTGGGAAGAGAACAAATCAGGAGCAAAACGTTCCATAAATTTGTTTTGCTTTCCTTAAGGTTTAAAAATGATTGTGCACTTCATAAAAAACCACAGTAAAATCAAATAACTTCATTGTGGCATATTCTCTTGAAATAACCTGACAAAATTAAATGTAAGTCTTGCTAAACTTGTTCATATATCTAATGAAGATCCAATAAGTCATTAGATTCAGACATTTTATGTCAATAAGATGTTTTAGATAATATTCGCAGAAGTATTAATTACGTTTACTAAACTGATTCCGAAGAAAAGTAATCAAATGTAATTTTAGATTTATTTTAATAAACAAACATTTACAAAAACTTATTTATGTAAGCATTGAAAAACTTTCTTTAACAAGTTGTGAAACATTTTACATAAAACAAAAGATTCTAATATGTTAATGTAATGAAGAAAGTATAAGATAAAGTTACGCATTACTTTAATTTACATTTACTGTTCCCATATATTTGAAATGAAAAATCGAGACGCAATACAATATTATTAAGGGCGGGGTCTGATATAAAAAAAATCCATTATTCAGACTACTTTATGAACACAGAAATAATTTGCTCCTTTCGATGCGTCTAAAACAGTTCGTTTTGATACGAATTAACTGGCAATTACGAAACTAAGACTAATTTCTTAAAAAGTTTTTCAAATATATAAAATTAAATACCACAGACATTACATTCCAATTTGTTTTTGGGGCAGTCCGTGGTTTCTTTTGTAAATGCGCACTGGGTCTTTAAATTGTTACTGAAAACACCCTTTCTCATGGGCATTTTGTTGCGTTTTTTATTAAAATAAAATTTCATTAAACAGACCGCAACTGTTTCGAATACGAACAAGTACACGCTTAACACTAAACATAAGAACAAAAAGGAATTGTGTAAATGAACGAAAAAATATTTCTATTAAATCGTCCTGATGACAGTTCATAGGGAAATCCAAAGTCACGGATTCAAAGTAATATATGCTGCCACAAAATATCAAATAATATTGTGACGTCATGGATACAGCGACCACAGACACAGAGCTTTCATATAACAAATATATTTATTAACAAAGAAAACAAAACAAATATATACACTTAATAATCTACTTACACCCTATCTCTGATGGACCTACTATCCCCTGATCGCGGGAGCGATCCAAACCCGATTGAAGATGGTTTTGATTGTGGCATTCGCCACTCCTACTTTTGAAGCGCGCACAAAGCCTAGCTTCCGCGACCGGATATCACGCTGGGACACAAAGTCCGTTCTGGCGCACCAACGGCTGGTTTGCCTCGATCGCAGGAGCGATCTTATCCGCTTGAGAATCGGCGTGAATCGTGGCACTCAACCACTCTTCACCTCGGAGCACGCACACAGCATGGCTCCCCCGTGACCGCAGTCACCCAAGGACCTAAAGTCCGCGGGCTTCGTCAACTAGTGACTCGAGCCTCGCGAGCCTGGCTCGCATATGCACCGTCGTGGTGCCAAGTTTTGTGCACACGCACGAGGTTCTCCCACTGTCTCCAGAACCTACTCACTGGCTCTGTACACTCTGTTATATAGGCTCAAACTCTGAACCCAAACTCAACTAAACAAAAGTGTTCATTACTAAGTATAATTTAGAGTTCTAGTTACCTAGATCATGAAAAGTAAGATAACGACACAAATGTTCAGTATTTTTTATTTTGATTGTGATTGTAACTCAGCCAATGATTTTGTAATTTTAGTAATTTAATTATTTCAGCAATCTAGAGATAACTAAAATCAGTGATATTTTGCATTTGTATTTTTATATTTTCTTGTTAATTGTAAATTAAGCAATTATTTAGTTAACCTAAGTATGGAACAATTTATGTAATATTATTGGAACATAAACGAACCAAGCTGAACATGCAGCCCCTCCCTGGGGAGCCAGGAGGTCCTTTCCCTGAAATGGGATTGTAATGGGCTTATAAAAATTTTAAAAACTCAATGCGCACTGCATCGTCGAAGAGAAGGAAGAATATTTAAGAAAGCGTTATCAAATTTAATTTAATAAAGAAAAATTAATAAAACTTTTTGTGGTCTTAGGTGGAAGAAATATTACTTTACAGTGAATAAATAGTGTGTAAAATGTAAAATGATAGACGAGTGTACAAAATATTGTATAGCAATTTTGGAAAAGTGTACGTTTAGGTTAACTCCTATCTCCGTTCTAGTAGCAGTTCATCCCATTTGTAATGATATCACTACAATGACCTTTTTAAACGTTTCAAAATGGCAATAAACTATTGCAAAAGTTTACGATGTACTATTTTGTATACTATAATTTTCTAAATATGGAATATTTTGTTATATTCCAACAAAAATTAATATAAAATTTGGTAATTGTTATGGTCATGACCAAGAATCATAAATACAAGTACGGACAATGTTTGAAAAATGAACAAAGATATATATTTTTTGTGAAGCGTATAGGAAATCACTCTGCTTAATCTTTGCATGTTGAAATTAACACTTGACACACTTTTAACCTCCGTTACAAAATCGGACTTTCATAACTAAAATCAAGATTTAAACAATATATTTCCGACATTATATATTATAAAATCATATTTCCGTATTAGAATATTATTTCACTATATACTATTGACAGTTAATTATTTCAAACGAAAACTTTTGATAGCAGTTTGCCTTATTTAATTAGAGTTTAATCTGAGTAAAAAAAATGCAGAGTTAGATATAGAACACGGTGTAAGATACGTA